CCTCATCTTCTCTCCTTTTCTGTCTCTTCTCCTCCTTCTCTATCCCTCCTCCTCTTCCATCTTTCTTCCTCCTCCTCCTTCTCCATATGTCAGGCACAAACAAGCAGATCCAAACGAGCTACTTTATTGTTCTCTGCCTGTTTCACAGGAATCTCCCCTTGCCCTCTTGTGCCTACATAAGGAGTCCAGACTAGTTCCCTGTTTGATCCCTCCTTCTAACTGGGATGGTTGCTTTCAAACATAATATTTATATAGAGTAATGATGGTGTTTTGATAATAAATGTAATGATTAGGGGTGGGTTGGCTTATTCCAACCCAGAATATACTGCATATTGATGTACTGCTTCAACTTCCTTTGCTAATTCTGCCCTCTCAACCCTCCAGTGAAACAAGTAGTTGTACAAGACATGGCGTTTTCCCGTATCTCACCCAGACATCAAAACTCACTTCCTCGGGACTCTATTTTTAGCTTTCCAACACTCCATAAAATCCTTCAGCTGGGAGCCTGTTCAGTCCAAATGTATCAGTAGTCACTTTGAAGTTTCTAAGTTCCTTACTTGGTTCCCATACTCTTGGTTTAGGAATCTCTTTTTTTCCTTTTAGCTATTACATGTTTTTGTTAGCACCAGACATTTTAAAATCTTGTCTTTTGTTAACAGTTTTTGATGTTACTGGTTAGAAAGGCAGTGGACACATTTCACATAAATATAGTTTAAAAAGCAATCAACTGCTGGTGTTTCTGCCATGGAAATTCTGCTTGGTGCAGAATGTCTGGGTCTGACCTGGTGCAATAGGGACACAGTGGCTCAGTGGCTAAAATGTGGAGCTTATTGATCAGAAGGTCGGCAGTTCAGTGGTTCGAATCCCTAGCGCCGCGTAACGGAGTGAGCTCCCGTTACTTGTCCCAACCTAGCAGTTCGAAAGCATGTAAAAAATGAACTGAACTTGCATCGAAAAATAGGGATCCCTTTGGTGGGAAGGTAACAGCGTTCCTTGCGCCTTTGGCCACATGACCATGGAGACATCTTAGGACAGCGCTAGCTCTTCAGCTTAGAAACAGAGATGAGCACCGCCCCCTAGAGCTGGAGATGATTAGCACGGATGTGTGAGGGGAACCTTTACCTTTTACCTGGTGCAACTCAGGGTCTCTCTATCAAAGTGAAGAATGTACCTCCAGTTGGGGCCGGTTCCCCTCCGTGAACCTCAAAGAAGTTAAGGAGGAACCAGAAAGGTCTATGGAGATTCTCAATCATCCAGGTCATGGTCGTCCCAAAGGTGCTTTTTCCACCAGGCAATTGGATTTTCTTGGTTTTCTCCCTTGAAAACGTTTCACTTCTCCTCCAAGAAGCTTCTTCAGTTCTAACTGCTAAGCAAGACAATTAGAACCAAAGAGGCTTTCTTGGATGAGAAGCGAAAGATTTTCAAAAAAAAGAAAAGAAAGCCAAGGAAATCCAGTTGCCTTGTGGAAAAAAGCACTTTTGGGACGAGCAACCAGAAATATCTGCACTTGGTCCTGAACCTCATTCATTTATGTCATATGACTGAGGCTATTTTGACCAGGACCTGGTATCAAACGGTTGCTGAGATAAGTCTGGATCAAAGGCTTGCGATTATTAGTCATATAAAGCAGCGGATTTTCCATTTATAATCCACCAGCAAAAGACGAGATGTTAGTTACAAGAAGTTAGTTACATAGTTAGTTTCTATGTTCTTTGGTTGGGGTAATAAAATAAAATTTATTGAGAGGTCTGTCCAGACTGTCCTGCCTCAAAGTCTTGGAAGATGGAAGACCACCTTCCGTCTTCCAAAAAGCGCCCCTGATCTCTCATTCCATACCAGAGAAAGGAAGGAGTTATAGAATGATGGTTATCTCCCAGGGATGGTCACCCCGCTCTCCCCCAAATGTATCTTGTTGAAGGGAATTAATTAATTAAGGGAGGTCCACCTAAAGGGACCAAGAAGAAGGCCCCTCTCCGGGGCAGCTTCCTCCTTGTGGAACATCATCCCTACAGGGAATCAAAGATTAATCTCCACTTTGACAAGACCCTGTTTTTGCCAACAGGCCTGGTGGCCCCAGAGTGGGATGGAGCCCATCAAATGGCTTCTTTGTTTGCTGTGGCCAGGGGAGTGGGGGGGGGTGTTATTGTTTTTATTATTTTATATTGTGTTTTTATTGTTATAAGCTGCCTGGAGTCACTGAGAGTGGCCATATAAATTGTCGTCAGTGAGTGTGAATGAATAGTATTTATTGCTATTTCCCAGTGCTCGCTTCAGAATACTTTAGCTATCCGGAGATGTCAGAATTTTCTAATCCATAATTTAAAACACAGTGGCTTAGTTTACCTACAGCAGTAAGCATAAATGGGTATATCTGCAGAGTATGTTAGGCCAAAAGCACACCAGACCACATTAATTGATCGGTTAACATTCATTCTAGGCTTCCCAAGTCTAATACACCTGTGGATGGTTACACAAGTTCAAATAAATAAGGGGGACAACATAACACTTTTTCTCATTATTCCCAATAGGGAAAGGACCAAATGTGATGTCCTTCGTGTTCTCTGAGCTTGGTTGTTTTCTTGCAGACATTTCGTTACCTGCCTAGGTAACATTATCAGTGCTAGAAGAGAGTGAGGTTTTCTCTCTGTACAGTAGCCTATCTGGATTGGTTAGGACGTGATCTTCTTACTAGTTCCTTGAGTAGGGTCCTGTTTCCGCTCGATTATTTATCAAACATCTCAACCTGGGCTACAAAAAAAGTCACTGGTTCCAAAATAAGATGATGAGACCTGTGGACTCTTTTATTACAAGGCAAGAGTTTTGTGTGGAGAAGAAGCACTTCTTTGTCTCCATTCCAATAATGCTACCATTTGCATATTTTGTTCTCAGGTTGCTATCCTTGTCCAGGGCCAAATATGAACCCCATAGCTCTAGGGAGCCGGTGGCTGGCCTATGCAGAAAACAAGGTGAGGAATCCATTCTAATTTTGTTACTGATTTAAATCTGGCTCTTTCCTTTTCTTTCTCTTTGTCTGTCTGTCTGTCTGTCTGTCTGTCTCTCTCTCTCTCTCTTTCTCTCTCTCTCCCTCCCTCTCTCTCTCTCTCTCACACGCACACGCACATGCACACACACACACGGATGTGGTAGAAAAAGAACATGTGTAAGGATGGTTGACTTCCAAATAGTCCTCTTGGTGTTTTTATTATGAGTCCTGTAATTTACTTTCCTTGCAGTCCATCAGGGCGGTGTAATCTAAAGTCCCAGCGCTTCGGGGGCCTCTGAAAACTTGGACGGAATCCCCCTAATGGGAAGGAAAGACTTCCCAGAAGTAGGTTTGAGAAATTCATGAATCACAACTCTACAAAACTATTAATAGCTGCCTGGACTGATAAAAGGGGAGAGAGAGAGGAAAAAAAAATATTTGTTCCAGTTGCTTTCCTGCCTCTGTTTGCTTGTATGGGCTCATTTGTTGGCATGGTCTCCTGCCTTGCCTAGGACAATCTGGCTGGAGGAGAGAATGCAGCAATAAACAGGACTTTCTTACACAAACACATGTAGGGAGGGCGGGAGGGAGAGATGGGGGGAGAGAGAGAGAGAATGAGAGAGAATGAAAGAGAGACAATGAGAGAGAGAGTGAAAGAGAGAATGAAAGAGATAAAACAGAGAATAAGATAGAATGAAAGAGATAATGAGAGGGAGAATGAAAGAGAGAGAGAGAATGAGAGAGAGAGAATGAAAGAGAGAGGGTAATATAAAAATAAGCATTTTCTTAAAATGCTAATTGTAGAGGCAGGATTGAAGGTACCCTTTAAGTAGCCGGTGTTACTATAATCTAAGCCCTCAATTTACCATCACAATTGAGCTGCAAATCTGCATTGCTAAACAAGACAGTTGTTAAGCAAATTAGGCCCCATTTTACAACCGTCCTTACCACGGGGTGTGACGTGAATCACCGCAGCTTGTAAGTCAGGGACACGGTTCTTAAGTGAATCCGGCTTCCCCGTTGACTTTGCTTGCCAGAAGGTTGCAAAACGTGACCACGTGGGCCCCGAGTCACCTGTCCTACACCATCATGAATTTCACACCATGTGAATTTTTAGGTCACATGACCTTGGGGGTGCTGCGGTGGTTGCAAGTGAGAAAAACGGTCACAAGTCACTTTCCCCCCCCCCCCACTGCCGTTGTAATTTTGAACGGTCGCTAAAAGGACTGTTGTAAGTCGAGGACTGCTCGTAACCGGGTGGAAGGAGGGGTGGGAGGAGAATCCCAGGGCCCCAAGGGTCTGCCCAAGAGGGGTTCTGCTGTTGATTGGTTGACTTGACCTAATGCAAACACTTCCTTCTTGCAGCTGATTCGTTGCCATCAGTCCCGGGGTGGAGCTTGTGGCGATAACATCCAGTCCTACACAGCCACAGTCATCAGCGCAGCCAAAGTGAGTGTTTCCGTGGCCGACATGGCGACGTACATTTTTATTTAAAAGTAGTTTTTATACTGTCTTTCATTTCAGGGTTGAGTACAGTCGGTAGTCCTCGACTTACAGCCGGAACGGAGCCAAAAAATTAATGTTGTTAAGTGAGACATTTACTAAGGGACCTTTCTTGCCGTAGTTCTTAAGTGAATCACTGCAGTTGATAAGTGAGTGACCCAGTTGTTAAGCGAATCTGGCTTCCCCATTGACTCTGCTTGCCAAAAGGGGATCACGTGACCCTGGGACACTGCAACGGTCATCAATAGGAACCAGTTGCCAAGCGACTGAATTTTGATCACATGACTGTGGGGGTGCTGGAAAGGTTGCAACTGTGAAAAATGGTCCTAAGTCCCTTTTTTTCAGGGCTGTTGTAAACTTTGAATGGTCACTAAATGAACTGTTGTAAATTGAGGACTACCTGTATAGCCAAAAGCATTTATTTCAGTTGTATAACTCCCCTTTCCTCAAAAAAGATACAGGCCAAAATAAGACAACGGCAGGTTTCGTATCAACAAAATACAAAAAGAATTAAACAATTTAATCTGACAAACCAATTAGAATGACATTAAAAACATTTTCAACTTTCACCTTCATTTTTGTTAGGCATATTACCAGAAAATTATGACAAAGGGGTTGTATATTTAATACTACATGGGTTGACAGCAGCAGGAATTGTATTTGCACAATATTGAAAAAAATGAGGAAACTCCTACAGATGAAAACATAATTAAAAAAATATTAGACTTTGCGGAAATGGATAGGTTAACATTAAAGATAAACAATAAAGAAGATACAGAATATTTTTAACATGGGATTTATTTTACAAATGATTAGACAGTAGAGGTAGAAATTAGAAATTGGAAGAATACTATACAAGTAAATATTGCTACTATTGTAAATTGACCCAGACAATACACTGTTTATTAAGCACTCATGTATGAGAAAGAAAAATATACAAATAAAATGTGTATATCTATCTATCTATCTATCTATCTATCTATCTATCTATCTATCTAT